AGGGAGGGAGGGAGGGAGGGAGGGAAGGAAGGAAGAGAGGGAAGGAAGAGAGGGAAGGAAGAGAGGGAAGGAAGGAGGGGAGAGAAGAAGGAAGGGAGGGAGGGAGGAAGGGAAGGAGGGAGGAATGAAAGTTAAAAAGCAGCTAGACAGTTTGCTGGGGTGTGGCTTAGTGGAAGAATGCTTGGCACATGTGAGGCCCTGTGTTTGGTAATCAGCATTTCAGTATCTTCATATAACCTTAAATTATCTTTTAGCTTTCTTTACTTGAGAATGAAACCATATTCTAATATTAAATATTTTATTTATTTTTATTTTATGTGTATGAGGGTACTGTCTGCATGCAGGTAGGTGCACCCATGCCGTGCAATGCCCACGGAGCTCAGAAGAGGGTGTTGGATCCCCTGGAACTGGAGTTGGTAACCACCGTGTGGCGCTGGGAACCAAACCAGGTCCTCTGCAAAAGCAGCCAGTGCTCTTAACTACTGAGCCTTTATCCAACTCCTGAAACCATATTCTGAATTAAAAGATTTTCTCCCATTTAAGTAACTAACCAGGGCTGACTTTGCTTAGCTTCTGAGATTAGCGGTGACTGGGTGCATCCAGAGTGGTATGACTGTAGATATGAATTAAAAGCTTTTATAAAGACTAATTCCACAGTGGCCTCTTAACTCTAAATAATATAAGACTAAAAATTATAGTTTGTTTTACAACAATCTAGTAATATAGTTCCTGTTTTCTTTTTAATTTTATTTTTATTTTATGTGTAAGAGTGTTTTGCCTGAATGTAAGTTGCTTAGTGTTCTTTATTCTTTTAAAAAATTTTATTTCTTTAATTTTATTTTATGTGTATGTATGAGTGTATTGCCTGCATGCATGTAAGTGCACCCACGGAGCTCAGAAGAGGGCATCAGATGGCCTGGAACTGGAGTTACAGACAGTTGTTAGTTGCTATGTGGGTGCTAGGACTCAAACCCTGGTCCTCTGCAAGAGCAGTCAGTGCTCTTAACTGCTGAGCCATCTTTCCACCCAGTGTTCTGTATTCTATCACCAATTACTTTTCTACTTTCCTCTCTACAACAGATTTAGGAGTTTATTCTAAAGTAAGGTCTACTTTTCTGAGGTATTTTAAAATTATATATATTTTATATTGAGGGTTACAGATGAGAGGTAACATAAACTATACTAATAAAGCAGAAAAGTTTAGTTATTAAGCACATCAAGAAATCATAAAGTACTCATTAGTAGCCAAACATGGCAGGCCACCATACTAGCAAACCCAAAGCAACAAGAATTTAACGCTGTTTGGGGTAGGGGCATGCAGAAATTATGCTTAAAGCTTTCATAGTAAAGTGGGGAAAGATCACATATTAGAGAGAAGGAAGGTTGTGAAGAGAGCTTTAAGAGTTTTAGAATATTCCTCAGACCTAGTGAAAATAGGAAAGTAACACTTCAATCTGATTCTTTATGAACTGTGAATATATTCTCTCCTCTTATTAAATATACAAGTATGGACCTGGGATGTGTTCTACAGCATAAGAGGCGAAGGAAACATTATTTATCCTGGAAGGCAGATATATATTCCAAGATTATGCAAAGGAAGTAGAAACAGACTATGGGAGAGGGGTGTAGGTAAGAAAGCAGAAGGAGCAGTCAAAAGGACTATGAACAGTCCCCTAGAAGTCACAGCATCAGGCATTGGCATAGGTAATTTCTACATTTTTTCCTGGAAAGCTGTTTCTTTCTTTCTTTTTTCTTTTTTTGGTCTTTGAGACAGGGTCTCCTTGTAGTGGGGGCTGTCCTAGAACTCACTATACAGACCAGGCTGGCCTTGAACTCACAGAGATCCACCTGCTTCTGCCTCCCCAGTGCTGGGTCTACAGGTGTGTGCCACCACTGCTGGTGAAAGCTGTTTCTTATAGGTTTAAAATGAATAACACAGGGGCTGGAGAGATGGCTCAGCGGTTAAGAACACTGTTCTTGCAGAAGACCTGGGTTCAAATCCCAGCACCAACATGGCAGCTAACAACTGTCTGTAACTCCAGTTCCAGGGGATCCGACAGCCTCTTCTGTCCTCCGTGGGCATTGTACAACATGGGTGCACTTACATACATGAAGGCATAACACTCATACACATAAAATAAAAATAATAAATTTAAAAAATTAATAACACATAATAGCCTAGTAAGCTCAATAAGGTTATTAACTGAAACAATTTTATTCTGGTTTTAGAAGATATTATTCTATCGAATTTCATACTATCTGTTTCATATGGGCCATAATAAATCAAAAATATATTTTGGAGAATGTATGACCAAAATTGGTTGGTCTTTATAATCAGAATCTTTGGATAAAAAACATGAGAGACTTTTTAAAATAAAAATAAGCCCACATCTTCTGTCTTGAGAAACACTGTTCTTACTGGATACTGGGTAGCCAAGAGTCTTGTAAGAAAATATTGATAGTATTTAGATCAATACTGGCAACCATCAGATACATACAGCTTTCAATCTTTTCACAGCATCTTCACAGATGTGCATTCCTCTTGACTCATCAACTTCTACATGGCCGAGGTACTGTGGAGAGAGAGAAGGGTCAGGTCCATTCCATTCCTAGAGAAGCTACTATAAGAGATGACAGAAAATTAAACCCCCTCACTCAAGAAACTCGCAACTACTGTAGGAAAGTTATAATAAGGTCTTATTTTATTTATTCTCAATGTCTACACATGAATAAAATTTAGAATATTTTAGAGTTTTTAGGGAGTAAGTAAAAAAGTGCATGGTAGTCACTAAATGCTCCCAGAATTGACTGGCTCTGAAGTGTTACTAGCCTAAATGAGACACAATTCTACTTCCACACATAAAAATAACCCTAAAACAAAGTACATACACTTACGAAAAAGCACAAAGAGGGCCAGTGAGATAGCTCAGCTGGTAAAGGTGCTTGCCATCAATCCTGAAAACCATTCAATCCCTGGAACCCACACTGAGGGAGAAAATCAACTCCCGCAAATTGTCCTCTGACCTCCACACATGCACCATAGCATACATGTGTACACGTACACACACACACACACGCACACACACGAAAAATTGGGAGAGATGGTGCAGCAGTTAAGAGCACTAACTGCTCTCACAGAGGACCTGAGTTCAGTTCCCAGTACCCACATGGTGGCTAACAACTGTCTGTAACTCCAGTTCCAGGGGACCCGACCACTATCTTCTGGCCTCCATAGGCATTTTACGCATGGGTGTACGTGCATGCAGGAAAAACATTTATACAAATAAAAATTAACTAATTAATTAAAAAAACAATTATAGGCAGAGAGAAATACACACACTGTTATGTATAAGAGGATAATTAAATATCAGCGAGTATTCCTATTGTCTAGACTATGAACTATAAGAACTTTTTTCATGGTAGTTAGGATCTAAGCTAAACCTTAGTATAGGATAGTCCCAGGTCAGAAAAGCGGAAGGGATGGTGGCAATATTCTAAGGATTCTCTCTCTTCCTAAAAGACAAGGTCTTGGGGTCTTGTATATTGTATTTCAGGCTGACCTTGAACTCCAGATCTTCATATCTCAGCCTCTGGAGCAACTGGGACTACAGGTGTACATCACCACACATGACCCACAAGTGCTTTCTTTTCTTTTTTCTTTTTGGCTTTTTGAGACAGGGTCTCCCTGTAGCCCCAGCTGTCCTGGAACTCACTATGTAGACCAGGCTGGCCTCGAACTCACAAAGATCCACCTGCCTCTGCCTCCCAAGTGCTGGGATTAAAGGCGTGTGCCATCACACCCCGCCTAAGTGCTTTCTTTTAAAAGGAAATTCAGAATCTGGTTCCAAGTAGGATGGAGCACATTTAATACATACAAACCTATTTGCCCCACTGAAAGAAAATACATAATCTGGACAGAATGCACAAAGCAGTTATTTGAGGTTTCTGAAAAGTAAACAACTAAAAGAGGAATCAGAGAAGAATATCAGAATTCAAGGTATCACTGAATTTGCAAATTTACCTTTCAAACCCTTATCTCTTTGGGACCTCTGGCCTAAATAATACAGCCAGAAAAGTAATGAGGCACAGAGAAAACTCTGGGGAAAGCACTCTAGTTCTGACTCAAAGTACAGGAGTTCCAGGAAGCCTAGTGGCGATGTGGAATGAAGCAATAGAAGCAGCGACACTGAAAACATCTTAACCGGAGAGATATCTTCTCTGTTTAGTGGAACTTGGATCCCAGCAAGAAAGAGCTAATGTCTCCCCCCCTCCCCGACATTCAAGTGACACTGTGAAAGAGCGATAAAATAATCAGAGAACTGGAGGATGAGAAAGCAGAGGTCCAAGGAAGCAGAAACTATTAACAAGCCCAGGGAAGGGGGAAGCTTGGGAAATTGACCCCACTGATTTGCTTATGAAGTCCTGGGATGAACCTGGAACTTTATAGGTAAGAATCTGGTCCTACAATTGGTGTATCAAAGATTTGCAGAACTGAACCAATAGACAGACCATTTCCCAGCCCTCAGACTGACCAATAGGGTAGTAAACACGGGATATATTTAGAAAGGCTTTGAAAACTAGACACAAACTCAGCATCTCTAGTTAAGAAACCTGAAATCCTCCCAACATTTGGAACTTTCTGAGTACAGATATGACACCTTAAGTAGTAAAGTCTACACATAGCCTCATGTGATAGATCATAGACAAAATCTAGGTGTACTAAAAGTATTGCATGAAATTACCTTCAGGATATGTGTATAAGGTATATATGAAACAAAATCTATTTATTTATATATTTATAAACAGGGTATTATGTAGCAGAAGCTGGCCTCAAACTTGATATGTAGCCAAGGATGACTTAACTTTCAAGCCTCCTGCTTCTCTCTCTCAAGTGCTTGATTACAGGTGTGTTACTACCCCTAGTTTATAAAGTACTGGGAACTGAACCCAGAACGTCATGCATGCCAGGCAAGTCATCTACCAACTAAGCTACATCCTCAGGTACTTTTCCAAAAAAAGATTTGAATAAGACCCAGAGTCTTACAACACAGTACCACTTGGCATATGATAAAATCAAGAAAAATTTATTTAATCTGCAGGGAAAAAATAAACAAATCCACTAACACAAAAATTATAAAATTATCTAACAATGTCTTTAAAGCAGCTGTTATAACAATATTCAAAGAAGTAATAGTAAACAGTCTTGAAATAATTGAAAAATTCAAAGTCTGATAAAAGTATAGAATATATATTAGGGCTGGAGAGATGGTTCAGTGGTTAAGAGCACTGGCTGTTCTTGCAGAGGACCCAAGTTTGGTTCCTAGCACCCACATAGCAGCTTATATCCATCCTTAACTCCAGTCCCAGAGGATCCAAAGCCCTCTTCCGATCTTGGTGGACATTTCAAGCATGTGGTATGCCTACATACATGCAGGCAAAACATTCATACACATAAAAAAAATAACAGGTAGGTGTGGTGGTACATGCTAGCACTCAGAGGCAGAAGCAGGCAGATCTCTATGAATTTGAAGCTAGTCTGGTCTATACAGAGTACTAAACCAGTTAGGTCTTAAACCCCCCCCCCCCCCACACAGAATATATAAAAAGAACCAAATGGAAATTTTTAAATGATTAGGGTAAAAATCACACTGGATAGACTCGATAGAAGAATAGAAACGGCTCTCTGAACTTGAAAGTTGATCAACTGAAACTGAACTTTACATCATCACACTTAGTGGTGAAAAACCAGAAGCTCTGATCCTCAAATATTCACATTTAAGGTAGTCCCTCCCCTTTACTACTCTCATTCAACACATTTGCATTTAAACTTCAAAGTAGTTACATGTGTTTTGGTCTTGCAGCTCTCTTTTTTTATTTACTGTGCAATTAATAGACCAAAGGTAGACCAAAAATGTTCTGATAAATCTTTTCTTGTTGCTGTGACCAAATGCCTGACAAGAGGCAATTTAAGGGAGAAAAAAAATTTATTTTGGCTCATGGTTTGAGAGTAGCGTCCACCATGGTAGAGAAGGTATGATGATGAGGGGGTCTTAGCTATGGCCATGGGATGTGCTTCTATCTGAGTAGACCAGGAAGCAGAGAGAAGACCAGAAGTTGGGTGAGATATACATCTCTAGGCCTTCTCCTCAACAACCCACTTCCTCCAGCTAGGTTCTGCCTCTTAAAGGTTCGATAACATGTCAAAACAGCGCCATCAGATAGAGACCAAGTGTTCAAACACATGAGCCTGTGGGGTATATTTCACATCAAATCATAACAAAGGGTAAAAATAGGACAAAACATTTACTGATCACTTATAATGTCCCAGTAACTATGTTGGATATTGAATATATTTTGTCTTACTAAATACTCAGAAAGGTATGTATGATACCTGAATTTAAAACTGAGGAAAGAGCTGGGTGTGGTGGTATACACCTTTATTCCCAACACTTGGGAGACAGAGGCAGGTGAATTTCTCTGAGATCAATGCCAGTCTGGTCTACTAATGACTTCTAGGTCAGCTGGGGCTACAGGGAGACTGTCTCCAAAAACAAAAACAACAACAAAAAATTGAGTAAAGAAAATGAGATTCAGGAATGCTGAATAACTTGCCCAGATCACATACATAGCAGAAGAATCACTTATATTCATGACTCTGAAAGTCTAAAATGACTATCATAATTATAGAAAACCTTTTTCAGTTGTTCATTACTCTTAAAAGATATTTATATATTTTTAAGTTTTATGTATATGAGTGTATTGCTTGCATATATGTCAGTGTACCTGTATACAGGTACGATGCCTGTGGAAATCAGAAGAGAGCACTGGATCCCCTGGAACTGGAGTGATTAGTGCTATATGGGTGCTGGGAACTGAACCTGGGTTCTCTGCAAGAGCAGCCACTGTTCTTAACAGCTGAGCCATCTCTCTAGCCCCCTAGTTGTTCATTCTTATTACAAGAACATAAAAAACAAAGTAACAGCAAGCAAGTAAACCAAATTCCTTTTGCTATATTTGGTCTTCACAACTTTGTAAAAATAAAAGCTATTTCATCTGGCAAATTCTTTCTCTTGCAAAGCTGAAACTGTCAGCAACAAGTAAGCCTGTCTGAAAACTTGTGGAAACTCTAAAATTAGTTCATCATTATTCACACTTCTCTAACGCCTCTCAAACCTCAGAATTTCTACTATGAAAAGAATTAACATGAGACTAATCTCAAGGCTTAATGACATTTGCTACATGGTACTGTCAAGGCTCATCATTGTTAGGCAAAATTTATTTAAAAATAGAGGGAGGTTTGTAATTTTCTAGTAAGATTAATTCTTAGAGATGATTCTCATCCATATAAATATCTTCTAGAGGGCAGATTTATTCATTTTTTTAACTATAGGAAAATTCATTCTTTTTGGTCTAGTGTTCTATGAGATTTGACAAACTGCAGCTGTGTAACCACTACTACAATCAAGATACAAAAGGATGAAATTGCCTCAAAAATTCCCTTATGCAGCCCATTTGTAGTCAGTTCCTCTTCCTATCCCTTGCAACTTCTATCCTTTGCAACTACTATTCTGTT